AACTTGGTCCACATAGCAGTTGAGGAATGCAGAACACAGCGTGTCAGGGGACAGCTACCCAACCTGGCCCGGCCAGACAATGCAACATGGGGGTGAGATTGGAACTTGGCCACCATGCTAAAGGGTTTGCTCACTCTGGCCTGAACAACTGCTACCTCAGTTAATTTATCAACTAACCCTTAATCAGGAACAAATCTACCCAACGTGAGATAAGAGTGTTGGCACATGATCCAGATCATCGCTTCTCCAGTAAGCTGACTGAGCTCACAGCCCTTCACTCAAGCCCTCCTGGGGCTGCCTCTTGTAAAGGCAGAGGGACTCACCCTTTTCCTCTGCATGTTGGTGCTTCCCTTTGGACAGTGAGCCAGAGTGGCCAGTGTGGAAAGACAGCCTAAAACGCCAGCCAAGGGCTGCTAAAAATGAACACATTTCAGCCTTAAATATTCTATGGTCCAAATTCCAAGTAGATTAGGGATTAAATACAGGGCAATGCCAACGTTCGAGATGCTGAGTCTCAAGGGAGTGTCCTGGCTCAAAAAAAAATCCCCAGACTTTAATTAACCTGACTCTCCAGACCAAGCTGAACTTCATCGGCCAAAAAAATAATAAACATGCTTCATGGTCTTCATGCTTCTCTTGTCTGAACAAGCCTGAGTAGCCAATGGTCATCCCAGGGCCCTGTCTTACCCAGCACACTCAGCAAGGGTTCAATGTTCCTGATTCCTGCTTACACAGGCCTTCCATTGCTGGGAGCCTGGTTTACCCTATCCACCTAGCTTCTCTTCTTCCTCAGGCTATCTGTTCTCCAGTACCCTGGGAGAGAACAGTTCCTCTACAAAGCCTCACCTAAACTCCCATATCAGGCTTTATATCTATCTTATTTTTTCTCTGCTGTTTTAAACACACCTCTGTCATCACCCTTCAACACTAGGGAAACGGCCTCTTGTATGCACTCATCTCATTCACCACGGGGTAAACTACTTGACCCAGGAGTTATTCATCTCTGTATCCCCATTTCTCTGCCCAGTGCTAGCTCTAGCTGAGTCTTTCCTACTGGGATTGAAAATTAAAACAAAAAAGTGGTGCTGGAAAGGGAGGGATGTCTGAACTGAGAGGGTAGGACTGCAGTCAGCTGTCCCCATCTGTGGTCATATTCCACCTCCCCAGCTGTAGCCAACACACCCTGCTCACTGTTCCCAGACCCGCCACGCTATGGCAAGCCTCAGAGCCTTTGCACCTGTCCCTCTGCCTATAGAACACTGCCTCCTTCCTCACCCTTCTGCTTTACATTCATATGACTTCCAAGATTCAAGGCAAGTATCCTGTCTCTCAGGACCCCCCGCATGTACAGGTCTGGGCTTCCCTCCATCCTAGCCTTCAGGCTCTGTGGTGCTTTTCTTCATGCACCACTCCTACTATGAACTCCTCAGATTGAGAAAGTCCAGAATCATGAATCCCAAGGACTTACCTGTGAGAAGGAAGAACAAATAGTGATGACAACAGCAGCATTTATAAAATCGTGACAGTGTACAAGAACACTTTTAAATTTTCTCATGTAAAGTGAGGTAAACCCCACAGTAATCTTACTAGGACAGTTATATAATTAAACTCATTGAATGAATGAATAAATTGAAGCACAGAAGTCCAAAGTTAGGCATTCTGAACCTGAACTCCTAGCCATGTGCTTTATATAATAGAAGGGGAATGATACTCTGAGTGCATAGAAGTGGGAGCAGCAGATGGGCTAATTAGATAGATAGTTGATAGATAGATGGACATGAAGATTATTAACAACAGCCTGTCTGATATAATATATATTAGTTTGTGCATGTGTTTAGAAAAGTGCTTCCTTATTTAGCAGAAGTAGAAATTGACGTTTTACTTAACATCAGTTTCAGGAAATGACCCTTAAATAGTCTGACCCACTGAATCATGACAGCAGTCCTGGTGGGGAAAGTGGAAAGTGCCAACGTGCTCGCCATGCAGACGAGATGCACCATGTGATGTGCCCAGCATGATGCACCTGGGCCTCGGGACCTGCATGGCTCAAGAGAGCCTGCTTCTCCTACCATTGCCATGGCTGGTGTCTGCTCTTGCTTCATACTACTTTGTAAAACAAACACTTGATCAATTGCAGTAGTGAGGGTGAAACTAAGACCTCAGAGTCTGTGCACTCAAAAATAAGTAGATTACTATAAAAAAAAAAAAGAAATAAAAACCCTCAAAATTCACTAACCAGACCAATTCCAAATAACAACATAAAAGAGCCCAGAAGAAATATACAGGTTCCGTCTCAAGGTACATAGACCACATATGCTGTGGCCCTTCATAGATGACAAAAGTTGCTGGTTCAGTAGCTGGGAATAAACTTTAAAGTGTGGGCAGCAGTGGGCAAAGCATAGATTAGACCTGATTTCAAACAGTCACATCTCTGTGAAAAGGGTTATTATGAATCTGTTCCAGTTACTAGAATGCTTCTGCTGACTTGAATGCAGGTTATCTCTAGTAATGACACCAGAAGATACACAACTGGAATAATTTGTTGTTATTTTTTATTATTATCACTGTTACTATTAATTTTATTATTATTTTAAATCAGAATAATTTATGAAAATGGTTTAAAAAGTCAATTTGTACAGAGAAGTGTGTAATAAAAAGCAGTAGTCCTGGATATCACCCTTGCCCAGTTACATCTACTTTTAATGAGCTTTTTAATGCTACCTTCATATCCCTAAATATAATATACATATTCTACTATTTCTTGATGTATCAATTATATACATTATGTATTGACTCCCTGCTATGATGAATGATAATTTTGCTTCTGTGTTTCTTCTCTCCTTGTCTCACTAACAAATTCATATCTCTATTTCAGCTCCACTGTTAGTTACTCCTATAGCTTTTTTTTTTTTACTCCTATAGCTTTAATTAATGTATTTTAATTTTTATTTTATTAACTAGAGATAAAGTACAGAATCCTTAACTTTTCATTTTTTTTATTACCTCATATTATGGGGGTACAAATATTGTTAGGGTTACATATCTTGCCCCTGCCCCTCTCCCCCACCCCACTATGCCAGAGCTTCACGCATGGCCAGCCTCCAAGTGGTGCGCACCGCACCCACCATGTAAGTACATACCCTTCTCCTCCTCCCCCTTTCCCCCTGCCCACCTCCTGATAACAGATTTTTTAAGACATTTTGGTTACAGTATGTATCTTTGCCTCTCCCTAAAAAGGGATAGAGGTATCCCTTCCCCCCCACAATGCTCACCACATCCTTAAGATATGGATCTCCCCCCCAAAAATCCCTGTTGAGCACTACCGTTTTTTTGAGCATCATAGTTTTAGTCAGTCAGTACCAATTGGATGGCGAGTAGATGTGTAGCCCATTTTCCAGATCTTGTGTCATCTTGCTTTGTATTAAGGGCTTAAGCTTAATCCAAGATAGCATAAAGGGTGGTAGTTCACTATCGTTTCTTAGGATTGAGTAATAATATTCCACTGTGAGCATATACCACATTTTAGTTATCCACTCATGAATTGATGGGCGCTTGGGTAGTTTCCATGACCGTGCAATAGTGAATTGTGCTGCCATAAACATTTGAGTGCAGATGTCTTTATAATAGAGTGACTTATGTTCTTTTGGGTAGATGCCCAACAATGCTATTGCTGGGTCGAATGGTATTTCTATTTCTAGCTGTTAGAGATATCTCCAAATTCTTTTCCACAAAGGTTGCACTAATTTGCAGTCCCACCAGCAGTGTAAGAATGTTCCTGTCTCTCCGCATCCTTGCCAGCATTTGTTGTTTTGGTATTTATTGATAGAGACCAATCTCACTGGGGTTAGGTGGTATCTCATTGTGGTTTTGATTTGCATTTCTCTAATGATTAGAGATGTTGAACATTTTTTTATGTTTTCAGGCCATTATTCTGTCTTCTTTGGAAAAGTTTCTGTTTATTTCCATTGCCTATTTCTTGATGGGGTTGTTTGATTTTTTTCTTGTTAATTCTTTTAAGTTCTAGATAGATTCTTGTTATTAGACCATTATCTGAAGTGTAGAGAGCGAATATTTTCTCCCACTCTGTGGGTTGTCTATTTGCTCTAATGATCGTTTCCATGGCAGTGCAGAAACTTTTTAATTTGATCAGATCCCATTTATTTTTGATGTGGCAGTGATTGCCTGGGGGTCTTCCTCATAAATTCTTTGCCTAGACCAATGTCTGATAGGGTTTTCCCAACATCTTCTTCTAGGATTCTTAAGGTTTCATGCCTTAGGTTTAGGTCTGTAATCTATCTAGAGTGAATTTTTGTGAGAGGTGAGAGGTTGGGATCCTGATTTGCTCTTCTGCATGTTGCTAACCAGTTTTCCCAGCACCATTTATTGAAGAGAGAATCTTTTCCCCATAGTATATTTTTGTCTGCTTTATCAAAGATTAGGTTACCATATACAGATGCTTTATCTCTGGAATCTCAGATCTATTCCAGATATCCATGCTTCTGTTCTTGTGACAATACCAGGATGATTTAACTATTATTGCTTTATAGTACAGCTTGAAGTTAGGAAGACTGATGCCTCCCAGTTTGTTCTTTTTACTTAAGATTGCTTTGGCTATACATACTTTTCTCTGGTTCCATACAAAGAGAAGAATTATTTTTTCTAGATCTGTAAAGAATGCTGGTGGTGGCCGCTGCTGCCCCTTTCCCGGCCGGTGGCCGCAGGTGCCGTCGCCGCCGCCGCCGCCTGGGGGCCCGAGCCGAGCGGAGGTCGCCGCAGAGCGCGAGCACCGCCCGCCCGCCGCCGCCGCCGCTCCAGGGCCAGGCCGCTCGGCAGGCGCCCCCGCGCCCCAGCCCGCCCGCCGCGGCCCGGCTGGCGGCGCCGCCGCCGCTCTTCTCCTCCTCCAGCGCCGCGGCGGCTGCCGCTCGGCCGCACCCGCGCCCTGCCGCGCCGCGCGCCCCCGCGTCCGCGCCGCCGGGTCCCGCCCGCCTGCCCGGCGGCCGCGGGCAGCAGGCCGGGTCTACGCCCAGGTGAACAGCCTGAGGAGCCGCGAGTACTGGGACTATGAGGCTCACGTCCCGAGCTGGGGTAATCAAGATGATTACCAACTGGTTCGAAAACTTGGTCGAGGAAAATATAGTGAAGTATTTGAGGCCATTAACATCACCAACAATGAGAGAGTGGTTGTAAAAATACTCAAGCCAGTGAAGAAAAAGAAGATAAAACGAGAGGTTAAGATTCTGGAGAATCTTCGTGGTGGAACAAATATCATTAAGCTGATTGACACTGTAAAGGACCCTGTGTCAAAGACACCAGCTTTGGTATTTGAATATATCAATAATACAGATTTTAAGCAACTCTACCAGATCCTGACAGACTTTGATATCCGGTTTTATATGTATGAACTACTTAAAGCTCTGGATTACTGCCACAGCAAGGGAATCATGCACAGGGATGTGAAACCTCACAATGTCATGATAGATCACCAACAGAAAAAGCTACGACTGATAGATTGGGGTCTGGCAGAGTTCTATCATCCTGCTCAGGAGTACAATGTTCGTGTAGCCTCAAGGTACTTCAAGGGACCAGAGCTCCTTGTGGACTATCAGATGTATGACTATAGCTTGGACATGTGGAGTTTGGGCTGTATGTTAGCAAGCATGATCTTTCGAAAGGAACCCTTCTTCCATGGACAGGACAACTATGACCAGCTTGTTCGCATTGCCAAGGTTCTGGGTACAGATGAGCTGTATGGGTATCTGAAGAAGTATCACATAGACCTAGATCCACACTTCAACGATATCCTGGGACAACATTCACGGAAACGCTGGGAAAACTTTATCCATAGTGAGAACAGACACCTTGTCAGCCCCGAAGCCCTAGATCTTCTGGACAAACTTCTGCGATACGACCATCAACAGAGATTGACTGCCAAAGAGGCTATGGAGCACCCATACTTCTACCCTGTGGTGAAGGAGCAGTCCCAGCCTTGAGCAGACAATGCTGTGCTTCCCAGTGGTCTCACGGCAGCACGATGAAGACTGGAAAGCGACGGGTAATGCGGCATTGATGCTTGCCAATAAAACCAACCAACCAGACACAAATCTTGAAGGAAAACTACAGTGTGATAAAAAGAATTCTAATCATTCCTTCTAAACGCAAAGAAGAGTAAGACCTAAAATCTGTCAAAAAGAAAGAATCCCCAGTACTAGTCTACAGGGAGCTGCCATTGTGCAGCAGCTGATGCACGTAGTTCAGGATCTGAAGGACTCTGCCTTTGGAATGCATGGGAGATGAGAGACTCGGAGTTGTTGTGCATTTACCTTATTTAATAGGGCACCGCTGTTGAATTAACTCATTCGGTCAACAAGCTCTGAATGTCTGACTTCCTATCTATTCCATTGTGGTCTGAGTTTCCTTCAGTGAGATTCAGGCTCAAGTTTTAGCAAAAGGTCAGCAGTTTATACTGACACACCAGCCTCATTTATGAAAGGAGATAATAAAACAGTGACAGTTATTTTTTTAAGCTCTTTTTACAATTCATGTTTATGTATTTTTTTATGACATGAGCTCTCCAGGAAATGTACCTCATCCCTGCAGTTTCCTCTAAATGTATTCATTTGGGAGCAAACTGCGTCTCCTTCACGAGTCCTTTTGATGTCAGGAGGCATCATTTTAAACCTTGCAATGCCATGAACAGGTTATCAGCCTCACCAAAGTTCCATGCTAAGTGCATAACTTGGAGCTCACTATAACCTCTGTTGATTTGCCTAACCATAAAGCTTGTTGCTATTTTTTTCTTTTAGCCTTTTTTTTTTTTTTTGGCAGCTTTTAAGGAAACCTCACCGTTTCCCAGCACTTCCCTACGTGTGCACCTATTTCAATGCTCCCGTCTCAAACAGACCTTGTGTTCACAACCATAGTACAGCTGGAAAGTCAGTCTTCAGGCAGGTCGGGGAGGGGCAAACATCCTATCAGAATTTATTCAGGAAAGACTTGTTTTAAAAAATGTATCATCCCCATTCCTTCTTTTTACCCCCGAGGAAGAAATAATTTCCCATTGTAATCAGGGTAATACGTGTCTTAAGCTCTGATATGTGATACATTTATTTATGTGATGGCAAAGATAAGTCTTTCTCGCGTGCAGGTACTGGATTTGTGTGGGCAGAGCCATCTGATAACTCAGTAACTGACAGGAGAGGGACACAGAAGGGGATTGGGGAAGGAAGTGGAGCTCCTGGCACAAGTGTTAAGCTTTGGATCCAGTGTGCTAACTTTACCGTTAGCAAAGAAGATTTGGTTTAAAAAAAATAGGGCTGATTTATTTTGGGGACTTAACCACCAACATGGTTTGCTGGCAGTCCCCCGCCCTACTACAGAGCTGTGCACAGCTCTGGGGACCTCACACCCCTAGGCTAGGCTAGGAGTGTCTACCACATCACACTTTAGGGTTTCTTTATTAACTATTTAATAATGCCATACATTTTTATAAGGTTAGATTGTTTGTTTGAAGCATCTGTTTACATTCCATATTCCAATAAAATCTTATTGGTATTGGTAAAAAAAAAAAAAAAAAAAAGAATGCTGGTGGTATTTTGGTGGGGATTGCATTGATTCTGTAGATCACCTTAGGTTATTTGACATTTTAACAATATTGATTCTACCAAGCCATGAACAAGGTAGATTCTTCCATCTATACAAATCATCTGCAATTTCTGTTTTTAGTGTCTCATAGTTCTCCTTGTATAAATCTTTCATATGTCTCATTAAGTATACTCCTAGGTATTTAATTTTATTTGGGGCTATAGTAAAGGGTATTGCATTTTTTTATTTTTTTTTTTTTTTATTTTGCATATTATGGGGTACAGATTTAAGGTTTCAATAATGCCCATTTCCCCTCCCCCAAAAGTCTGAGTCTCATCATGACCATCCCCAGATGGTGCACATCTCACTCACTATGTATGTATATACCCCGCCCCGCCCCCCTCCCCCCTCCCACCTGCCCAATAGGGTATTGCATTTTTTATTGGAGTTTCTGCTTGATGGTTCTTGGCATATATGAATGCTTCTGATTTGTGTATATTGATTTTATAACCTGAAACTTTACTGAATTCATTTATCAAATCTTGTATTCTCTTGGATGAGTCCATGGGGTTTTCTAGATATAAAATCATATCATTGGCGAGGAGTGAGAGTTTGAGCTCATCTGCTCTGACTTGGATGCCCTTAATACCCCTCTCATGCCTGATTGCTATAGCTAGGACTTCAAGCACTACGTTGAATAGGAGGGGAGAAAGTAGGCATCCTTGTCTAGTTCCAGTTTGAAGAGGGAATGATTTCAATTTTTCCCCATTTAGAATGATATTACCCATTGGTTTGTCATAAATGGATTTGAGAAATTTAAGGTATGGGCCGTCTATGACTATTTTGTTAAGAGTTTTTATCATAAAGGTGTGTTGGACTTTGTCAAATGCTTTTTGTGCATCTAATGACAGAATCATATTGTCTTTGTTGTTGATTTTATTTATGAAGTGAATTGTATTTATAGACTTGCATATGTTGAACCAGCCTTGCATGCCAGGAATAAATCCCACTTGGTCATGGTGAATTATGTTTTTGATGTGCTGCTTAATTGTATTTGGTAAAATTTTGTTTAGGATTTTTGCATCTGTATTCATGAGGGATATTGGTCTGTAATTATATATTTTTTTTGTTACGCCCTTTCCTGGCTTTGGCATCAAGGTGATATTGGCTTTGTAGAATGAGGTAGGAAGAATACCATCCTTCTCAATGCTGTGGAATAGTTTCTGTAGTATAGGTATGAGTTCATCTTTGAATGTTTGGTAGAGCTCTGGAGTGTAGCCATCTGGCCTGGGACTTTTCCATTTGGGTAGGTTTTTAATTACTGCTTCAATTTCTGAGCTTGTGATTGGTCTGTTTAAGAACTCAGTTTCCTCCTCGGTGAACTTAGGGAGGTTGTGCGAGTCCAGGAATCTGTCCATTTCATCTTCATTCTGTAGTTTTTGGGCATATAGAATTCTATAGTAGTCAAACATAAGGTTTTGCATTACTGTGGAGTCTGTTGTGATCTCTCCTTTTTCATTTCTTATTGAGGTTATTAGAGTCCTTTCCCTTTGAGTTCTTGTCAGCCTAGCCAGAGGGCTGTCAATTTTGTTGATCTTTTCAAAAAAAACAGCTTCTGGTTTTGTTGATCTTCCATATAGTTCTCTTGTTCTCCATTTCATTTAGTTGAGCTTTGATCTTAGATATTTCTTTTCTTCTGCTAGGATTGGAATTAGTTTGCTCTTCTTTTTCCAATTCCTTGAGTCTATTCATTAGGTTGCCGGTTTCTAATCTTTCTGTTTTTTGGATGTGAGTGTTTATTGCTATTAGTTTTCCTCTCAGATATGCTTTTGCTGTATCCCATAGGTTTTGGTAAGATGTGGCTCCATTGTCATTTTGTTCGAAGAAATTCTTGATTTCCCTCTGAATTTCTTCCTTGACCCAATAATTATTCAACAGTAAGTAGAGTGTTTGGTTTCCATGACTTAGTGATGTGGTGTGTGTTTCTGTTAGAATTGAACTCTAATTTTATACTGGTATGGTCAGAGAAGACACAAGGTATTATTTTTATTTTCTTGAAGTTTTTGAGATCTGCTTTGTGGCCTAGTATGTGATCAATTTTTGAGAAGGATCCATGGGCTACTGAGAAGAATTTAAATTCAACTTTAATTGGGTGAAATGTTATGTATAGATCTGTCACACCTTTTTGGTCAATAGCTTTGTTTAGGACCCTTATTTCTTTACTTAATTTCTGTTTAGAGGATCTATCCAGTTCATTTAATGGTGTATTGAAGTCCCCTGCTACCATGGCAGTATTGTTTAAAGTGGTATTTAGTTCAGACAAAGTTTGCTTTATGTAATTGGGTGCTCCTGCATTGGGAGCATAAATATTAAGAATTGTTAGATCTTCATGTTGGATCTTCCTTTTTACCAGTGGCCATCTTTATCCTTTTTTACTTTTGCTAATTTAAATCTAATGTTGTCTGTGGATAATATAGCAACCCCTGCTTTCTTTTAACTTCTGTTTGCCTGGATGATAGTTTTCCATCCCTTGATCTTCAGCTGGGAGGCATCTTTATGATTTAGGTGTGTTTCTTGTAGACAGCAAATACTAGGTTTATGGAATTTTATCCACTCTGCCAGCCTATGTCTCTTCAGAGGACAGTTTAAACCATTTACGTTTATTGAGAGGATTGAAATTGGAGGAAGATTTCCGTTCATATTGGTGGGTGAATTCCTGTTGCTTTGTCTTAGACCTTGAGCCATCATGAAGTTCGAGATCTAGACTTTAATTCTTTGAGGATTTTATTTTGAGGAGTGTCTATTGCCCTGTTCACTGTGGAAGGCAGGTCTGAGAATCTCCTGTAGTGCTGGTCTGGTCTTTGCATATTCCTTTAGCGATTGCTTGTCTGAGAAGGATTTTATTTCACCCTCATAGATGAAACTTAATTTTGCCAGATAAAGAATTCTAGGTTGGGTTTGTTCTGTTTTAGAAGATTAAGGATAGGCACCCACTCCCTCCTGGCTTGTAAGGTTTCAGATGAGAACTCTGCAGTTAGTCTGATAAGCTTTCCTTTATAGGTTATTTGTTGTTTACACTTTGCTGTATGGAGGATTGCTTCTTTCATGTTTACTTTGGTCAGCTTAATAACCACATGATGGGGTGATTGTCTATTCACAATGTGTCTCCCAGGAGTTCTATGTGCTTCTTGAATTTGGATATCCAGATTTCTAGCTAGGCCCGGCATATTTTCCTCCAGTATGCCGTAAAATAAGTTTTCCAACCCTTGTGAATGTTCCTCTTCCCCTTCTGAAATCCCAAACAATCTGTGATTCAACTTTTTTACATAATCCCATCCTTCCTGTAAGCTTTGATTTTGTCTTTTGTTTCTGTACACCCTTTCTTCCTCTGATTTGTTTAGCATGTAGGTATAATCTTCAAGCTCTGAGATTCTTTCCTCAGGATGATCTGTCCTGTTTTTGAGGCTTTCCACTGTATTATGGAGTTCCTTGAATGTTTCCTTCATTGCCAAAATTTCTGCTTAGTTTCTCTGAATTACTTCTATATCTT